AAAAGGGCTATTGCTACTTTAGCATAAAGCTACATATAGTGATATACTGTGACAATACACCATCTAATAACCACTCTCTACCCCAAAAAATGACAGAACCAAAAACTAGTATGCTACAATGCAATCAAACATACTGCATAGACAAAGCCAGTGCAAACACGGATAGACTTGCATGCACAAGCGGATCAACACATAGAAGAAATGCACTCTGACGGGATCGGTCCTAAGCGCATAAGCTCCCTCGGGATCGGTCCCTAGGTCCTCCAGTAGAGAGGTTAGAATAAGGGCAAGAACTTTGTTTCTGTAGTCTATTCTTGTAGGGGAACCCTCCCAAAAAAAAGGTAAAAGGGCACTACTGGGGGTCCCTTTTAGTGGGTTTTGAACATCACCTTTTTGGGGCCAATTTAAATTGAGCCTAGGGCAAGAGGACACAGATCGCATGACCGCCCACTTTTTTCAGTGAAGTTCCTTCTGTTAGGAGGCGCGTCTTTAGGGGGAAACATGTTGCATGGGGAACCTGCAGGGATCCTCACCATCTCTATGGATAAGTTCCCCATGAAAAAAACAACGTGCAATTTTTTGTAAAACATGGCTGTGGCTCAAAAAACCGGTACCAAAATGGAACCCTGGTAAGTGACTGGAAACACATGGGGAACACATGGTGGGTGGACTTGAATCCTCACACGAGGCTTCAGGGACACTAGGGAAGCCCCCGAAAACCCGCTACCGAGCTTCTCGAAAATGTCTCGGGCGCCTGACCTAGGGCCCAGATTGATTCCAAAGACAGAGAAGCTAGAAGACGCCTGCTTGGTTTTCTTTTGGTCTCCTGGTAAGATAGTCAAAAGGGAGGGTCCTCTGTTTTGAAGGAACCCATTTGAAGGCCCCTTTAAGGATTAAACCAACCATTCGCAGGTTGATCTGGACCGCAAGACTACCTCCCACTTACCCATTTTTGCCCATGGAGGGTCCCCAATTCCTCCAACAAATCCAAAGTAGCTACTGGGCTTTCGCGTCTTTGACTCGGGACTGTCTGCATGAGATCTTCTTTCAATCCCGACGTCCAATTTTTTGAGCATCGCAGCAGTTGGGACCAGGATGTCAGCTGGGTTCGGCTTTTGACCAGCTGAGTTCCCGACAAAACCAAGGGACCTTTGAAAGAGCAGATAAACACGAGGGGACGTGTATGTTCCCAATTGTCTGGTGGTCAAAAGAAACACCCTGCTCTCGGACGCACGTAAACCCCACGCAATAACATGTGGCCATGGGTCAAAATCCCGTACCCCCAGTGAACATCCCAATCCTTACTGTTGCAAAAGCCAAGTTAGTCTCTGCAAAGGGGCAAGGCCCTAACCTCTAACCCTAACCTCTAACCCTAACCTCTAACCCTAACCTCTAGCCTCTAACCCTAACCTCTAACCCAAACCTCTAACCCTAACCTCTAACCCTAACCTCTAACCCTAACCTCTAACCTTAACCTCTAACCGTGAGGATGCATGATGATGATGATGAAAGACTACGGGAAGATGACGGAAGACTATGGGAAGCTGACGGAAGACTACGGGAAGATGACGGAAGACTACGGGAAGCTGACGGGAAGATGACGGAAGAGTGCGGGAAGATGACGGAAGACTACGGGAAGATGACGGAAGACTACGGGAGATGACAGGAAGCTGACAGAAGACTACGGGAAGATGACGGAAGACTGACTACGGGAAGATGACGGAAGACTGGAAGCTGACGGGAAGATGACGGAAGAGTGCGGGAAGATGACGGAAGACTACGGGAAGATGACGAAAGACTACACGAAGATGACGGAAGACTGAAGACTGCGGTCTCTAACCACCCTAACCTCAACCTCTAACTGTGAGGATGGATGATGATGATGATGAAAGGCTACGGGAAGATGACGGAAGACTATGGGAAGCTGACGGAAGACTACGGGAAGATGACGGAAGACTACGGGAAGCTGACGGGAAGATGACGGAAGAGTGCGGGAAGATGACGGAAGACTACGGGAAGATGACGGAAGACTACACGAAGATGACGGAAGACTACGGGAAGATGACGGGAAGCTGACAGAAGACTACGGGAAGATGACGGAAGACTGACTACGGGAAGATGACGGAAGACTGGAAGCTGACGGGAAGATGACGGAAGACTACGAGAAGATGACGGAAGACTACACGAAGATGACAGAAGACTGCGGGAAGATGACGGGACGACTTGTGGGGCGGTAAAAACAGTACAAACGGTCCTCTAACCTGACCCTCTACTGCTTCGCTGAGCGCTGGGCTGTTGTTCTGTCCGTTTTGCTTTTGCTGTGGCTGGCTCGCGTGCTACGCGGTCCTTGCTTTTTTCGCGTTGGTTTTCGGGCCTTCTGGCGCGCGCGCGCGACCCCAGCCACGAAACGCTATTTACAGTGTTGTGTTGCATTTGCGTTTCTGGGCTGGCTTGCGGGTTCTTTTTGGGCTGCTGTTTCTGCGGCCTCTGGCGCGCGCGCGCGACCCCCATGTCAGCCTTCTGGGTTGGGGCCCGGCTAGGGCCCAGAAAGCTGGCATGCCCGGCATCATCTGGGGTTGGGGTGGGCAACATGCATAACCTAACCAGCCATATCATAGCACAGGATACATTTCTCATACAAAAAACATGACATGACATGGTATAACTTCAAAGAGGCGTAGCCGGCTAGAGGCCGCAGGCCCAGAAATAGACTAAAACGGGTGGTGCACCGGTTTTGACCCACAGCCATGTTTGTCAAAAATGATGGGAGCCAATGAGGCAAACAGTAAACAGATTGCAGCTGAGTAAGCCAAGTCTGGAAAGAGGATAGCTGAACCACCAGGACGTCTGTCCCCAAACTCACGGAGTGTCACTTTTGGCGACAAAAGCATCACCCCTGTCTGCGCTCCCAAAAGCAGACTGTCCCCACTACTCGTTGCAAAGACTGAGCTACCAAACGCTTTCCGGCCTAAGAGAATTATCGCATGTCTCAAAAGGGCATCTCCCAAGAACTCACCCTCTTTCAGCCCAAAGGACCTGGACACAACAGGTGATCACCTTGTGTGACCTTTACTTACAATGAACCAAATCAGGGAAACCAGAGGCTCAAAAGGTCGAATCGCTTTGGGCAGCTGAGCTTTACCAAACCCCCGATTTCTTCCGGGCTATGCAAAAAAGAACGACACTGGCCCTCACACGGTCCAAGGCCCAGCCCACATTCATGCAGCAGCCCGATGCTCTGTGGGGTCCCTGATTTGGACAGCCGAACTCGCAGTATGGTTGACTACATATGTGCTCGGGGCCCACGCTTCGCAGAACTCTGAAGACCTAAGCCATGAGGATAGCAGCCATCAGCTCGATACCGAGCTAAGGAACCTATGGACCTGACCAAGGAGTATGGCAACTTGACGTCTTATCTGCAAATTTGAATTCCCCCAAGATTTGCTCCCTTTTGGAAGGAAAACAAGATCCAGAAAGGGGGTCCGCGACGAGACAACCCACATGAAGGATCCAATGCAATGGCTGCAAATCGAAGCACTAATCCTCTGCTCAGAGATACGACCGCATGCTTTCCAAGCTAAACCTTCCCAATTGTACACCAGAAACCAGAAACAGCTGTAGCCTTGCAACAAGCAGCTAAGCCGCAAGGGCAGCGTTGCTGTGCAAGCCACGACTATGAGCCTAGTCTGAATCAAGACCAAGTATTAAAGAGGTGGCTGTCCACACGCATTCGCTGTTTGGGCGGTCTCCCAATTCTGTCATTCACCAACCACCTGGATTTGACAATGGCTCAGCTGTGCCTCTAAGCATCCCTTTGGCACTGCCACGAGGCTTTACATAATACTTTATCCGTGTGCTGGCCCTAGTGTTTTACCGTCAAGTCAGCTCCCAAGTCTCCAAGTTCTGACTTGAGGGGAAGCAGCCGTGTGACTTTGCTAAGCCCGGACACTGTCAAATCTAATGGGCCCAGATACCTGAGCGGCCCGATTTCAGATCTCCCGCCAGCTGCTAACTGTTAGTGGGTCAAATCGAAGGAACCGCTAGGCGGAGTCACCAAGATACGTAAATGCAGCCGTGAACATGACTCTGGCAGAGCCAGGCGGGGACATGTCGGGCATACCATGGCGTACCCTTCTGCAAGGTAGACATCAGGTTCATCCGCTGACATCTAAGCGAAATGGAACCAATACAATTGTACTTACTGTACTTCTTGAGCCTATGCCACATTTGGAGACACCAATTCCCAACAGTCAACGCAAAACAAAACGTTTGAGTAGTGCGCTAGCTTTGGCATCTAGTTTTCCAGCCGCCGCAAAACCAAAGACAAGGACCGCGATTCGTGAGCCAGGTGACATGCTAGACGCAACGCGTCTGGGCAAAAAAAAGGTGACATGTCGGGGTGCCTCAACCTTTGGAACGTTGCAAGGGTAACACTTGACGCAGGTACAGAAGCCAACGTTCATGGAATATCTGAGGCGTATAAAGTTGTGCAAGCCATCAGCCCCTCTGCAAGACTTGCTTCTTGACAGGGATGGCAAAACAGCTTCTACCAATCAATAGAAGCGAATCCAAGTGTGGATTGAAGAGGGTGATTCCCACTTCCCGCTTTCATTTCAAAACACGTGGCACTGGGCAAAGGCCGTATCTCTTCAAACATCAAAAAAGAGAGAGATGTCTTTCCGAGAATCCGAATGGCATCTCCCTTTTCTGGTTCGGGAACACATGTAAGCCCACCACTTGTCGGTCAATTAGGAACCCTGACGTGGACATCATGAAAATTCATGTCGATTCATTGGTGCCGATGTGTTCCCCATGAAGAATCAGCCATATGGGTGTGTGTGTGTGTCAAAATCAGGGACCATGAAATGTATCCTCTCCTTTTGGTTCCCCTTTAATCATTTAACTAACTGCAAACCGGGTACCCTCAAAAAACACACACATGCAGCCAACCAAAGCGGCTACGTGACTTCCGACTCGGTCTGAGGTCCGCGCTAGAAGGATCAGTGGAGCTCCGCCGAGCCGAGCCGATGGAACGCCGGCGAGCCTCAGATGGCATTTCTTGGGTCAGCCCACAACTTTTTTGAGGATTTCCTTTCCTGGGCTTGGTTCAAAAGGACAAACGAAGAGGGAAACCACGCGTTTTGAAAGTTAACTCCTACTTGGATGCTCAGCCCACTCGCAAGCAGCTTACAACCATGGTTGCTCCTGTGCAAGCATGGTTGCCTTCAGAGCATCAAAGTACGGGCCCCGTTGTAGATAGTCCCTGGAAGATGTACGATTGAGAATGAAATAAAATTTGGGGGCTGAAGGTCGGCAAGTTGGAACACATCTACCCTTTTGTCTTTCGTTATGGAACTTCAAACAGAGATTGTTGACCACCCAAACAAAGCTCGTAGCTTTCCACCTTACCCGCTTCAGCAGTGGCATGGCAACCACGACTCACATCTACTCAAGGGATCCACTTCATGCCACTCTAGAAATCAGCAATCAGGCAATAGTACAGAGCCTCGAGGCATCCATACAAAACGACTTGTGTGGCAATACTCAACCACTCAATTGTACAGTCCAGATCTACCATAATGACAATATATTATGGGTCATGGAAAGTACCATCAGTTACAACGGAAACATTGGCAATAGTGTTATCGATAAGGAGTGGTAATTATGATGGTGTATCTAAATAATTGTGATACGCACAAATTGCTACCTGACTATGATTTCCGAGAAACTAGTGTAAAATAGATCTGACGATGGCTGGATTGATTGCTGTCGCAGGTTTCTAGCCGGATTAATTGAATCCAACTGCAAAATAAAATTTGACACAGTTTGTACAAACAACATCATTCATCGAGCCAACTTATGAACCAGTTTCCCCGAAGGATACACGCAATGCGCATTTGGCATTTAGCAATGTCAAACCAACCCGAAACTATACAGTTCCAGCAAAGTGTTGGAGCCTCACGGGACCCACACAACACTCATTTTTGGCATCCACAACCCTAAGCCAATTCCAGGGATTGTTAATCCAGGGTGAAGCGGTGAGGACCATGGCTGAACTCGCTCGCATGGACGAGGGGTCTCGCTCTCGACCCGGCTCTTGGCTTGGGATGCACGCTTGAGCCTGGAGAAAACATCTTGAGCGGCCAATGGAAAATGGTCGGCTCATCTGCAGATTTTCTGGGTGCAAAACATGGCCGACCTTTGACTTGGCTAGTGGGAAAACACTGGTTGAGCTCCAAAAAGTGAAAGGCTCAACTCCAACCAAGTAGCACCCCAAAGATCTTGAAGGCTCAACAGCAACAACCCGAGATCCAATGACTTGCTGATGCTCAGTAATGACCTTCCGGGTTTCGGGGGAATGAACCGGAAGGGGATTCCCTTGAAGGAAACCAGTTGGATAACATCTCGCGCACCAGCAAACAGAAACCGCCCAAGATTCTAAAAATCGCCTCAACAAACCCAGCGAAAACGGATCCGGTTCTTGAAAAGAACGATGGTTGAAGAACAAACGGGGGATCAAACCCTAGAAAGCTCCAAACCTCCCCAGCTTTACCATGAGCTCCGGGCGCGCAAGACCAGGCGGAGCGCTTTGGGCGTGGGCCGCAGATCCGCAGTGCCGGTCCTTCGAAGCGAAGCGAGCGCCATGGACCCTGCGTATGCCGAGTGGTTGAGCCATTGCCGCAAGACGGGAGCTGTTGCTGCCATTGGTGCTAGGTGAGAACGGTTCAAAGCCATGGAAGCCATGACTCGTGACTCCAAGGATCAGCTTCCCATGACTCCGCACGAAAAAAACATCCTGGGGGTTGGGCGTGACTCGGGGCCAAGGATCAGAAGACCATGACGCTGCACAAAAAAGCATCCTGGGGTTACCCTTGCCTTCACTTAGCCGTGGCTCGGATGCGCATGGATTGTTTTGGAAGTTGGCCTGCTTTTTTGGAGAGCACACTCTTTGCTAATGTCAAACTGACAACTCAAAGGAAAATGCGGATTCGCCCTTGTGTGCCCACTCTAAAGGTTCAACCGCCACTAGATGCTTCATCTTTTGGCGAACGCTTTGGCTGAAAGCATGGGTTCTGTGATGCCAGGGAAAGCCCCTCTAAAGTGGCATAGGTCACAAGGGGCTTGACCAGTAAATTGTTCCTTGCCTTTTTTGTGATATGTTTGGGCCACCCCCAAGGGTTTTGTGTTTGGTCGCGTTCATGGACCCAGTGCATTTCAGTTGACACGTTGTCCCCATTTGGTCTTGAGCTATCCCGGTAAAACGAGAAGCACGACGTAGCGGAGCAGGCCAAACAACACAGTTGGGGAGCTGAGTGAAAGCGGGTACAGGGGGGCGGCTGCTTGTATTTCTGGTAGCTTTTTGAGGTCGATTGAGGCTCACCTGTGGACACACAGAAAACATGTTCCGCAGATTGCAACAAAGGGAAACTTACAAAACAAACCTCGGCCGAAACAAATCGTCGAACATGTGTTGTTCAAACCTTCTTACGCTGAGGTGCTTACGCGAGCTTACGCAAGCTTGTGCGAGCTTGCGCGAGCACAGGGGTAGCTTACTTTGTCGGGGGCCCTTATGACCACAATGCAAAGTGGTTTTGAGCCCACATGTTGAACTTGCCTCAACAAACAGAAGGAAGGAAACCACATTTTGCACTTGTTGAATCTTCATGGGAGGAAAACATCAGCAGCTTCTTGGATCCAGGCTTGGACGTTTGCAAAAACAAAAACAAAGCATGATGCGCAAGCCCGAGTAGTCCATCTTGCATGGTGTTGCCATCCATCACGCAGGCGAGCAGCCGTAAACTTCGTTGACTTGCAATGAACCTCCGAACGTGTCCGGACTAAAGTCAAGGCATTCCATCAATGCAAGCGTTTAATATCTGCCTGCCTCAAATTTGTGGTTGGTATTGGTGGTTTTGAGGTCAGCGGCTGGTTTTCCATTTACCCTGTGCAAAATACAGGGATTCAACCATGTAAAACCGACTCAAGGTCTTCAATAGCGGCGCTGTCGGATCTGAGGGAGGAGGCCGAAAAAATATCCTTCACGGTCAGCCCAGCCAAAAAATCACACCCATAGGCTGCGACTGGACGCGATAGCAAACCCGGTGTCAAATATCCGCAAACACTGGTGATTCCATCCATTTAGTAACATGAGACCCAAGCTCGGAGATTCCAACATGAAAAACCTCACGGCAGTATGCCGTTGGTCATACAGAACATTGTTTTGATAGCAATATCCATACCCACTCGATCTCTCTGTCCATCTAGACAGCAGACATGCTGTATGAACACAAACAAACATGTCGAGCTAATGTTGGCACTTGATGAATTATGTGGACCAGAATAGGTCCCCCATGTTTCTCATTCTGGTATAGGTCCCCAGTCTTTTCCGGGGCGGAAATATTGGGTGGAAAAAAAACAAGTAAAAGCTAACTCCAGTTCAAAACACCACAAACAATCCCCAACACCAGGTTTGGGCCCATGCCAAATTCTGTTTGCACTTGGAAAAAACATCCAAACATGTCCCTTGAAGGCTACCGTTCCTACCAAAATCAGCTTCAACTGCTCCAAATCTAGCTCCTGAAGGCTGCAGCTCCATACCAAAATCAGTTTCCCTACCCCTGAAAATCCCACAAGCAAATTCTTTCCTACGCCTTGTTGAAAAAAGATGCAAAACAAATCGCTTCAGTGGACTAGAATAGGGTAGCCCCCAGCCCCCCATCCCCAACTCTGTGCATTCCTTCTACTTCTAAAGCAGCCCCCTGTTATTGTCCCACCAATCTTTGTTAGTCACAGACTCGAAAACCAAATGTGATCAAGTTCCAAAAACATCCCCAGCCCTGAGGATGCAAACTCCTCACCACACCCTGTCTAAAACATTGAAAAAAAACAGGGGCAAGGGTACTCAACACAACACCCCAAAGCCAGAAAAGGGGCCATTGTTTCAGTGGACCAGAAGAGTGCCAGGCTCCCGGCCGACCATCAACTTTGTTCGTTGCTTCTACGTTTAAAGCCGCCCCCCTTGTCTTGCACCCACCCCAAAATGGTACCATTGGTTTTGACCCACAGCCACTAAACTTGTTCAGTCACGCAATCCAAAACAACTGAAGGCTGCCAAAAATGGCTGCAGAACCTTCTCAACAAGAAGCGGCTGCAAGACGAACGTAGCATTCCAAAAGAGATGCTCGGCAAGAAGTGGTTGCTAGACTAAAGTAACACTCCAAAAAATGTGCACAGCAAGAAACGGTTGCAAGACTAAAGAAGTATTCCCACAATTGGGCCCCACGGGTCCTTCATTGTTCGGGTGTCCCAATTCCTTTTTAGCACTATTCTGGTTGGGGTTAATAATTAAGTTCCAACATTATGCAATTGTGAACCTGCCGGCCGCATGGTATCTTACCGCAAAACGACAAGACGTCGGTGCTTGGCAGCCACAAAAAAAGGATAGAACCTTAACAGCAACAACACGAAACATACCAGTGCAACGTGGCGCCTGCTTGAAAAGGGACTTGAACACCCGTGAGAAAATGCAGGCAGAAAATGCAGGAGCCCCTCTAGCGGCTCCGGACCCACGGTTGAGGATCTTTCGTGAAGTTTGTGGAGCTCCTGTGAAACCTGGAAGAAGCCAGAAAAGAAGCGCACAAAGGGAACGCTGCTTAGAGTTGAAACCCCAAATGGAAACAACCATCTGGAATCCGTCCTTGACAGCGATATTGGACCCTGCATTTGAGGGAAGGGATTGGCCCCCCCCCTTAGTGCTTTAGAATCCTAAAGATTGGTGACTTGGTGACCCCTCTATTTCAGATGCTTTCCAAGCAGGCAAGCAACTCAACTCTTTGGCTTCCCCCCATTTTCACTTTCGAATTCTTGGAGCCCGCGGATCCTTGACAGCGTATGGATGTCTTGCAGCTTCTGGTGAAGCTCCGCGGCCTCCTGGACGCGGGAATTGAAATCCCGTGGCTGCGACCACAAATTGGCTGCTGGTGCAAGAGATGAGAAATTGCCATGGGTCAAACGCCCGGTTAGCCCCCAGTGAACATCCCAATCCCCACTAAAATAGACTAAAATGGGTGGTGCTCCTACACCAAAATGGTACCATTGGTGTTGACCCACAGCCAAATGGACTAAGAAAAGCCATCCAACTGGTGGTTTCCTGTATTCGGGAATCCCCAGAACCGGTTCGAGCACAAGCAAGCACGACATGGAACCAGGGACCCACCATGTTCCTTTTTTTTCCATGCTTCTTTTGGGGACCGCTCTTACCGCTTCTTCTTTTTTCGGAGAAACACTGGATGGGTCAGCACCTACTAAGCTGCCCCAGCACCCCCCCCCCACGGCAAGGCCCGCCAGTGAAGCTGACCGTTTTGGTGCATTTCCCTGGCTGAAGCGTCTTTCTGGGCGTAGTCAAACAGCACTTGCAACGCCAGCGTCGCGATGCCAACCTAGGCAGCTGTTGATCTAAAAGTCAAATTGTAGGTTGCAGGCACTGTTGAGCTAAGCCATTGTGACTTCCCATCAGAACAAAGTGCCATCTGAGGAGTCATTGCTTTGATGCAATGCCCACATGCACATCGAGTGCAAGAAGCGAACTACGATGCACTTGTTGGTTCGGCGAAAAAGCGCAAGTGCCCGCCAAATATGCTAGCAGATCTGCCCCATCCAAGACAACACACCTAGCCCACTTGAAATATAAGACCAGTGAATGGTTGCGGGAAAGCACCCACATTCGCTATGCAGATTTACAGGGAAGGCAATGTTTGCAGTCAAAGAGTCCAAAGCCTGGGCTCCAATCATTCTCAAGACGGGGTCTTCCGGCTGTGCTCCAGGGTTGCTCGACGTCCGGATTCCTCTTCCCAAGTCTTGAGCAATGTCGACATGTGTGTGAAACAACGGCAATCCTCATAAGTATTCAGAATATGGGATCAACTGTTGCCATCCAACACATGCTCCAGTCCCTTCCCCCCCCCTAAAGCGGGGAACATCCCATGCGACTTTCCGACATTTCGGAGGCTAGGTCCTCCAGTAGAGAGGTTAGAATAAGGGTACCAACTTTTTTCTGTAATCTATTTTAGTAGGGGAACCCTCCCAACCGAAAAAGGGGAGAGTAGGGCACCGATCGCTGGGGGAACAATCGGAGGTCCTGCATGCCCCGGCCAACAAATGGCAAGCTCGCTGACATGAGATGCCCCAGCTGCTCGAGCCTCAGCTTCTGCCGGGTCTCCAAGCGACTTGATCCATGGCGCTATGAGCTGGGGCGTTCTCAAAATGGGCCCCTCGTCTGTTCTCTGGTTAAAAAAGGGGGGAACAGAAAATGAAAACCATCTCTATGGGGTCACCACAAACTAAAACGCTTCGAATGCAGGAGAACGTAAGTCCAAACACGTCCATGTACTCGCTAAAAACCAGCTTGAAGCACGTCAAGGGCGTTGACAGCCAGTAGATTGTCAGTATGAGTATTGTCTTTAGAACTACTATCGTTGGTAGAAGTAGAAGTAGAAGTGGAAGTAGAACTGGAAGTCGAGGTAGAGGTAGAGGTGCTGGTGTTTCTGGTGGTGTTAGAAGTAGGAGTAGGAGTAGCAGTAGTCATAGTAGTAGCAGTAGCAGTAGTAGCAGTAGTAGCAGTAGTAGTAGTAGTACTAGTGCTAGTACTAGTAAATGGTAATAGTGTTGGTAGTGGTAGTGGTAGTGGTAGTGGTAGCGGTAGCGGTAGCGGTAGCGGTAGCGGTAGCGGTAGTGGTAGTAGTAGTAGTAGTAGTAGTAGTAGTAGTAGTAGTAGTAGTAGTAGTAGTAGTAGTAGTACTAGTAGTAGTAGTAGTAGTAGTAGTAGTAGTAGTAGTAGTAGTACGGCGAGTAGTAGTCGTTGTCGTCGTCGTAGTAGTAGTACGACGGGTAGTAGTCGTCGTCGTAGTCGTATTAGTAGCTGTCCTCGTCTTACCATGCACGCCTACCAAGTATGCAAGTTTCAGGCACCACAAGCTGCTGTCGAAGACTCGATCCAAGTGACATCTGCTCACAACCCCACCCACCCCCGCGCCCTCAAAACAACCCCACACCCCACATCCCAAAACAGAGCAGAGATCAGTTGCCAATACTGGTGTTGATTTGTCTGCTAATGTACTCCTTTCACAAACACAGATGCTCTACTTCGATTTCCACGCATCCTGCAGCCAGGAGAAAGAACCAACATGTCTTACCACAGCTTGTGAATAAACATAAGCATAAACAAGGTTTTACCGGGTCCCAACAAGTCCTTCAGCACTGATACCCTCTTGCCTGTTGAACTTGAAATGACACATGTTTCACAATTGCTTATGGAAGAGTAAACAGCAGTGGAGATTACAATCAGAAACTCACATAGGGTTCGCATCTCAATGAACATCAAGCCACCCCGAGTATGAAACCCCTTAGACAAGTCAGGGCCGTCTCCGAAGAGCGAACGCCGCGAAGCTCCTGAAAATTTCCTTTTGCAGCTGCTTGGTGGGGAACGGTCTGCAACAGGATGCTGCCCTACCTCTTCTTCAGCTACAAAGTCCAGTGCATATTGACGAAGATTTGGCCTGGGGTCCCCGGCACAGTCGATTGGATCTCCTCTTGAGCAACGAGCAGGCTAAAGTGGGTGTTCAAAACCTCTTGCACCGGGCTCCTTGGCTCGCAGTGTCGGTGGCCGAGTCGCGGAACCAACTTCCAGAGAAAGACATGAACAACTTCCTCGCAGTAGGCTGAAGGGTACCAACATCTTCGCAAAACCATGTCTTTAGATGGCTTTTCCTCTAGCCATGGCAACGGCAAGCGCATGCAAGTAATCATTGGCCAAGGATCTTTGCATCTTAAGACATGTGGGCCTGCCAGTAAGCAGGTGGAAAGTCGGTTCCGATAGCTGAAGCTTGAACCGTGGGAACGGACACAAAGCCATCAGGTCCATGACTCCCCCATAAGTGCAGGGAGTGCACTCACTCCCCAGGAGGTGTATCGAAATAGGGCCCCTCCGCAAAAACAAATGTAGTGTTGCTTCCCTTTAACTGAAGCAGAGTAGCCGGGCAGCCTGAAAAACACATGCCCCCAGACCAGCATGGGACCGACCATAGCGGCATGTCCGCGTGTCAAAGGTTTTTGCTTCCCAAGAATTTGGGATTCCCTGGTTGTCTTTTAGAACGTTTAAAGGGAATCAGAAGGATGCCAACCGCATGGGTTCGCACCATTTAGGTGAGGTCTGCCGGACATTCTGTAACACCCAACCCTCGGTTTATTGGGGACCTGGTTGAAAAACCAATCAAAAGGAGGCTAAGCTGCCAGCACTCGTGCTCTGTTGAGTATCTTCTGGCGTGTTGTGGAGCACACCCTCACACCAACAAGTTTGCACCCACCAGAAGGCCCCCAAGCAAAATGTTCTCTCAGATGTCAGTGGGTGCTCCAGAAAAGGCTCCTGCTTTCCCAAATCGAGACAAAGGGCATACTGCTCCTGATTGGCTTTCTGGGGATGTCGACATTTGGCCATGGGTCAAACGCCCGCATTTACAGTGAACATCCCAATCCAACCACCAAAGTAAAGCCTAAAATGGGAGGTACACCTACCCCAAAATGGTACCGTTGGTTTTGACCCACAGCCATTGGCGTTCTCGTCCGGGCGGCCCATCGAAGGTCAGGCTAATCTTGACGCTGAAGGGCGGAAGCCACCCTGCCGATCCGCCCCGATGCCCCGAGTCGCGCTTGTCGCGCTTGTTTGCAGCTCGGTCGAGGGAAATCAGAGGGAAAACTCCAAAAAGTAAAATCTTAGGGGTTCGAACCCCCCGCAGAATGACGCATGTTACAACATGCGTGTCTTTCTTTGCGGCACTTGGATGTGGCTCAAAAGTTGGGAAACCAAGTGGAAGGCAGCTGTTTGTTTGGGGTGTCCTTTGTTGGGAAACAAAAGCGGCAACTGGCAAAGGAAAGACTTGGGAAGGCGCATCCAGCCAGGGCAGGAGGAAGAGGAGGAGGAGGAGGAGGCGCATGCACTTGGCATTCATTGAAGCTGGGATCAATCGAGCAGAACTGGCACAGAATGCGCGACGCTTCGAGGACACTAGCATGGTGCTTGAATGGCGCTGTCAGCGCATGCCCAAGAAATAGACTCTGGAGCACTGCGGAAGCCTCAAAGCGGACCATCAGTCCACACATGCTCGATTCTCCACCTCCAGGACTGATCTCAACTCACTGGAAAACCAGCTATGCATCACCCAAAGTCATTCCGCTGCCAAACCAGTCGAAGATCCGAAGTGGGACTCTTGGCACACAGAAACAAGCTCGCGGTCCTCCATGGTCTGCCTGTTTCTCCATGATGACTACTGTCAGCCTCTGATCTCAAATCAAAAAACCGCTTCACAGTTGGCTGAACTAGCTGGACTGGACTCGATAGACTGGACTCGATAGACTGGTCGAAGGATGCGCCTTTTTTGCTCGGGTTTAAAGCCTGCTGAAGCCAGCAGCTGCAGAGCAAAACGCAGGTCATGCCTGTGAGACCTTCCCAAATTGGGTTTGCTTGAGGTGTAAGTGTTGAGCACAGGGCCGTTGACCGCTGGTTGGTGAGCTTCTTCAGAGTGGCAAGAAAAGGCTGCACTTGGTGCAGATTACAATTGGTACATCTTCAAAGCCTGGGATGTGGTGTGGTTTTCTGACCATGCCTTCCTTGTGCTCAGTCCAGCCGCAATGGCACAACTTTGACCCCCAAACCTGCAGGTCTTGCGACAGCTTCGGATCACCTTGTACCAAAGGAATTCCCACAATGATTAAGAGTTGGAAGTGGTTGGCTGACATAAATCAAACGTCTTTTGTACGGGGTCCCCCCCAAAAAAACGAAGTTCACACCATGGCCATAATCTTCAGCTGGGCTGGACGGGAAAGCGGTGGTTCATGGCCAACCCCTAAGGAGTGATGCACCAGAATCAGGATCCATTGGTCAAAGCACCCTTCGCTCCGACCGGCCTAGCAGAACAAGCTGAAGTTCAGTCGCCAAAGTGATAGACTTCTCTTCTGCCCACTGAGTTTGGGGAATGCTCCCTACCCTTTGAAGCCGAATCCCGCAAACTTGGCAGTGAAACTTCAGGAATACCCTCGAAAACGGTATTCTGGACGCAAAGTTGGTGTCCACCAAAGGGTCCCTGAAGAAAAAGCAAAAACTGGGCAAATGTCTATAGTTCCCGAACTGGAAACTTAAGGGAACCCCCCGGTAAATGACCTGCATGGGGGCGCGCTCGTTCTCCCCCCAGATCGGTGCGCTGGTGAATATCGGCACAGGATGACTGAACCCCATCTGGTTGAAGACGCCCGGCTTCCCAGCCGACACTACTTTAAAAGCACTCACTAGGTTTGGTCAAAAGACCCTCCTAATTGTTTTAGGACACCTCCCAACGCTCCCTCTGAAAGCGACGTCCCTTTCGAATACCTACGTCTCCGTCCGGCCCAAAATTAAACAATAGAGAAGAATCAAACAAAGCAAAGATTGCAATTACCATAGTTCTTTCCCATACTTGTGCCAATACTAGCTCCTGCCATAGACTCAGGGTTGCCATTCCAGATTAACAGCCATTATTTCAGTGTAAAAACAAAGTCTGACAACATACTCTGACAAGCTAGTAAAGGGTACAAGGGTACTCCCCCTTCAACGCTGCCCCCCCCCCCCCCTGGCCCGCCGCTGGGAGGTTTTCCAAAACCTGGTCAACCTTGGGGGGGGGGTAATGAATCATCCCATTATGTCCAGGGTCATGCCAATTTGGGGCGCCCAGGAATCAGTTGACTTGCAGTTCTCTCATTGTCAAGATGTATATTTGGATGAGCGTTATATATATATAGGCCTTACCCAAGCAGCTAGAACCTACCAGAAGCCGCCGCTCATCACAACAACCAACCTGCCCTGATGACAGCGCCACATTGGAGACAGGTCGCTCTTCGGAGATCCGCTCGATGCCGCCCCCTGTGAATGCGTTTCGTTGGAGTGTCTTCAGTGACCTCGCCAGAAAACGGGAACCATTTGGGTGTGGCTTTTGTTGAGGGTACCACACCCTGCTCAATGGTTGGAGGGTTAGACCATGTTTAGCACTACCAAACCGAAAGGGAAAACAAAAAGCCCCCGAGCAACTGGGATAGAAGCAACCTGGTGCTTGGAAAACCTCCCATTGGCCTGTTGGTTTCAGTTGCCCATCCCCAACGGCAGAACCTGGCAGGATTTTTGTCCGGCGAGTCGTCGAAACCCAACCTGGGAACGAGCCCAAGAAAAACCATCCCCGATTTGGCTTCGCTGAACAGAGCGCCGCGTGGGAAGATGGCCGCCTTGCCACTACGACTCCTTTGCCTGGCAGCGTCCCTTCTTTGGAACTGGAGCTATATTCTTCGTATATATGTTTAAAGAAAACAACATGGAACTCCTGACAAAAATGGGGCAAGATCGCGATTCTCCTTCGGCTTCCTTGAAATGGACCAAATCCTGCGCCAGTTGATAGATAGTTTGTCGTATGATGTTGCGGGCGGCTTCATCCAAGATTTGGTCCATCCATAGCTTTTAAGTTGGCTTTCTGCAAGCCAGGGGAATTGTCACGCGGGGAGCCCCTAGATTTGGACCTTTGAGCTTGCTGGGCTTGGGGACAAAAGAAAAACCAGTGAAAACAAAAGTGGCTCGACCCGTTTCACTGTGAAGCTCACCGAAACACGGCCCACTGAGGCGATTTCTTCGACGGCCAGACTTCGGTTGGGGAAGGTGCCCTCCAGGACTCAAGAAATGTCGACTTCTTCCAAGAACTACACGGTTTCGGTAGCGCACTTGTTTATCCAACAATGAACGTTTACCGAGCTGGTGTCCTTCATATGGACACTTTTAATTTGTGATTTACAAACACCCTGGGCAAACCACCTTTGAACCTCATTTAGCAAACTCATGACCGTAAATATGGAGCACTTGTGTGTCAAGGCCATTTGGACTGTGAGGAAACCCAGCAGGCGAGCTATTCAGAGAATTCACTTGTGGCATTCAACAACATTCCCATTTCACAGCTTCCACGAAATCCAAACCCTAAACTTGACAATCCCTCAAATTGGGGGATGGGGGCATTGTGGAAATGATACCATAGTTCGCCATCCTTATCATTACTTCGCTGCAAAAGTCCCTTGGTATCACAGGAAGAACGCCTAAACCCAATGTGTTTTTTCCAAAACGCGATTCTATACGGGCCCCATGTGTCCCATTGTTTTTGGTTTCTGGCTCTTCCAGTCGCTGACCTTTGCGCGGAGCAGATTCACTTCAAAAGCAATGCTTTGATGGTGTCATTGCAGTCCTCAAGGACCTCATTAGAATGTGGTGACGAGAATCATGTCCACTTTTCAAGCGCCGCAGAAGCGACTCCTTTGATTTGCGTTGATTGGTCAAACGACAAAAACAAATGCTAGGTGGTTCCTTTGGTTCCATTCAAACCAACCACAAAGCGGTACCATCAATAAAAAGACCCACCCGCCTTCCGCCATGCGCATAGGTTCCACAAAACCCACTCTGCCACGCCTGTGTAGGTCAACAAGCCCATGGCCACCGACAAGATGAAGGCGATGATCTAAGCGAAATCGTGCGAGCGAGCTACGCCGATTTTACCTTCCGAAACTTTTGTGGAGATCCGCCTGAATTCAGGCACTCGCTTCTTTGTGTGCGTATGCGTGTGTGATTCTGCAGGTGTATCTGTGCGTGCGTGTGGATGTGTGGGTGTGTGCGTGTGGGTGTGTGTGCATGTAGGTGGTGTGTGGGTGGGTGTGGTTGGTGTGTGGGCGGGTGTCAGTGTGTTAGCGTGTCATTTGTCAGTGAGTCAGTGAAAGAGAAAGTGCGAGAGTCAGTGAATGTGTAGGAGTAAGTATAAGTCAATGCGTGCGTCTACTAAACCGAATACATGGGTTTTAGCACGACGCCCAATTGTAAGTCAGTCTAAATGTGTCGACACCACCTTCACGAAATGCGCTTGGAGGGTTTCGCCGCAGATCTGGCAACGCCTCTTTCCTCCGAGGGCGAGGCCGCGACTCTGCGGCCAATCGGAGCGAAGGCACTGATTTCTTCCAGTGCCCAGGGCCACTCAGTGGGATGGTTTGAAGAACGCTTGAGTAGATCTTTCAGTCCTTTCAGTCCTGGGGCCTAGCAAATTACTCCCAGCGGTTGAACATTCATAGAAACAAACAAGCTGGTTCATTTCGTTCATTTTAGGTGCAATAACAAACTTCCACAAGATGGCTCCATCAATCTGGCTGACAAAAAGGGCAAAAGCTTCAAGCTGTACAAACTGGTAGCTCCGTCTGCTGTGTTCTCTTTTTAACTATATGGGTGTTTCTCAAAACAGTGATCCCCTAAAACAGTGGGACTCCTTTTGGATTCTCATTACCTACCAACCAAAATGCGGGTCAACATTTCGTAGAAGCCCCCGCCCTTTTGGCGGTTGATCAAGGGGTTCTTAACATGGGATGACCATTGGGGAAACCAACAAAAAGATGATGATATTTGGTACCAAATGGGAAAAGTCACCCTTGGTCATTGGGGGGCTGAAGGAAATGTTGATCAATCCCCATATGACATCTAGGTCAGATCTTTTTGGCCTGTCACACCGGCCAGGAATCGCGGTCGGTTGTGGGCCTCCGGACCCACACCATCATGCACCAGGCGGCCGTCCAACTGAAAACGCCTTCCACCAGCTGCGCCTCCAATGGCAACAGCGCCGCGCCACTTCTTGCGAAAGGAGGGAATTCAACTCCCCGCCTTTGGGGGCTTCAACATCCTCTAAGCGTCAGAAAGGACCCATCATTCCTTCTGGGGGGACCAGCCTACAAGGCCAAGGGTCAAAGTTCAAGGCCACTCCCTCAAAGCTGGAAACATAGAGCTTTGCACGGCACCTTCTCTCAGGTTGGCTCGCCAAAGGGACACAGATCGCGAACAAAAACCAACACCGCACCCGTCTCCACGAAAAATATGATTTGAGGAGGCGTTTCTGGTTTGCTGAGCCGCAAGCAGGCTGAATGCAAGCGACCTCGACACGGGTCTGTCTTCTTGGGATCCCTGGGTCCAGTTGGATGTGGTTCCAAGCTAGGGAGCTCCTGGGCGAAATCGGCCTAGGTCGCTGGGGGGATTTCGAGCCCTGGAGGCCATTCATGAAATTCCACCCGCTTTGTGGGGAACACTAGAGGGAGCTGGGGATCCTCCCACATCCCTCCTTGAGGTCCCACTCACAGCAGAAGTGTCCAGGTCCAATCTCGAAACGGGTGGGCATGACACAAGCCTTGCGTGGCCAAAAGAGAAAGAATGGCATTCTCAACTCACCCAT